GTGTGTGTGCGTGTGTGTATGTGTGTGTGAGAGATAGATAGATAGATAGATAGATAGATAGATAGATAGATAGATAGATAGATAGAGAGAGAGAGAGAGAGAGAGAGAGAGAGAGAAAGAGAGAGAGAGAGGACAGCAGGTAAGTCTTCAACCGCGAAGCCAAGCTCATGGTACTTCCATGGATCCGATGACCAAAATCGGATGAATCTACAGCTAAAACATGGAAATATACACTGCCACACCTTTTTTTCTTTTTTTTTTGAAGAAATGGTCCGCCATGTGCTCACCACGGTGGGTGGGTCGCATTCGAATAAATCGCGCCACGTGGCACGCAAGGCGTTTGAGGGCGTTTGGGCGAACGCGTTCAGCGCGTTCAAACTGCTACATAGACAGTCACAAAGAGATGGTGCGTTCTATTCGGGGGATGGGTGGCAGAGGTAGAGAATTTGCAATTTATACAGACCTCTGCGTGGCCACAACGTTTGTCCATGTGGCCGCCAAAACAGATCTCCGCCTGTGTATGTCCACGTGGCAGTCTCATCACACGGGTAAGCTGCCACAGTACATGTCCACGTGGTCGCAGCTCACATGTCCCACACGCGGTCACAGCACTGCTGTCGACGTCACCACATTTCAGATGTCCACGTGGCCGTGTGGACGTGTGTTGTCCACACGGCCATAGAATGGACACGTCATATTTTTGTTTTTTTGTTTTCACAGAATCAGATGGCCCTAACAGAAAAAAGAAAAAAATACCGCCAATGATTGCTCGAAGATTGCACTATTACCAACGGGCCTAGCACAGCTAGTACACACCCCCATGTGAATTGCTGAAATGCAGACCAAATTTCGAAACCAGATGCAGTCAGAGGAAGGGATCAAACAATTGTTTAATCTGAATTAACTGGTGCCGGTCAGTTCGATGATGATATCTCAAGGCCGTCACCTTTATAAAAAAAAAGGAAGTGAAAAAAGGGGGAAAAAAAAAACAGGCGAAATTGCACGATTTTGGCTGCTGCCATGTTCCTTCTCCCCCCGCCTGATCACGATGAATGTATATAGGCTATGTTCCCGGTCGGATCTGTACGTGCGCTTGTGTTCTGGGGAAGATGCTCCCGTCTTCACCAGAGCAGAACGCACTGCCATTATCAGAGAGCTGTAATTACAGACTGAAAGTTGTTCCAAACACAGCTGTAATTTCAGTGCGTTCTATTCGGGGGAAGATGGTAGCAATGATATCGTGTGATTTTCTTTATCAACAGAGAGCACCTTGCAAGGACAAAGGGCGAGAGCCAAATGACAGCAATCCAAACCGCAACAGCACATTGAAAGGCAGATAGCACCAGCCGCCTTGCATCGAAAAAAAAACGACAAAAGGCCATGTATTTTTTCGGGATGATGCTTCTTATAGAAATGTACAACACACCAAGACTCATATTTGTGTCACACATTCATTCAGTACGTCATTGAGCATACTCGTTGACAAAGGGAACAGCCGGTAAGCATGGAATAAAGAATCCTTCATTATCTTGTATAAGATACCACTAATCAGATGGAAGGCGTGATATGATCGCCTTCATCGCCGGCCCCAAAAACAAATCTGGATGAGCCATTATAGAGGACAGATTAACTGTCAAATCGTGGTGTCAGGGTGCCCCACGGACAGTTCACCCAGAACTGCCCGGTAAACCGTAGGCAGAGAGAGAGAAGAGGACAACAAACGAGGGGCTGTGACAAACTGTTTCGTCGGAGTTATATATATATATATATATATATATATATATAAAGAGAAAGAGAGAGAGAGAAGGTCAGGCGTAATCGACCGTAGCGTCTTTCCCTCAGATTCTACCGAGGTGAGCCCTGACGAATCTGTACACTCCTCTCCCACCCCTCCGCTCACCCGCCAGGGCCGCCACCCTCAGTGCGAGATGGTGAACGGGGGTCTCAATTTTGCGGACACTGCCTCCATTGGAGATTGAAGATGAGCTGGAACTTGGTATCCTGGGAGTCGAGCGCCATCACAGCCTTCTGGCCCTCCACTCTCACCACCGTCTTGATATTCAGGTTGGGCGCGTTGTTGCACTCGCTCCAGACAAGCGTCAGGAAGTCGTCCGTGAACTCGAAGCTGCCAACCTTTGGGCCTTTGATTTTGCGCTCCACCATCGCCGTCCCCGTTTGTCCGGAGAAGTAGTAGTGCGTCTCGTAGATGCCGTCGGAGTTCTCGGCGATGTCAGCGAACCCGCGGCCCGTGGCCTGACCAATGGAGACGCTCCAGCCATCCGGGTAGTTCACAGAGAACGACATCTGGCAAGACTTCCTCTTGTCGGCGAGCGACCCGTCCGTGGTCGCAACCATCCCGCCGAACATGAAGGTGACAGTCTTGTAGTCGTTCGACAGCACCCAGTTGGTGTTGTCGTAATTGCAGCCGTTGCCTGCGTAGGTGACCCAACCGATGGTCACCTCAGTCGGAGTCTGCGCGCTCGCCAGAACTGCAGCAGCGATCAGCAAAAGAACGGCCGCAAGAACCACCTGACGCGCCATTGCCCTCGACCTCTGCCTCCAGTCCCCCTCAACAAGCTTCACGGTGCACAGAGAATTTGAGAGAAACTCGGTGCTCGGAAGACACAAAGGCCGGCGTGAGGCGCACCTGGCTGCTCCTCCGTTGAAAACCCCACTCCTCAACGTCTCTGCTATTCGTGTGCAAGCAACGAGAGCACAGATTGCGAGTGTGTGCGTGATCTAAGTACGCTTGTCTAGTGTATGCCCAACCCAGGCAGTTCCGTTCGCTTTTATACCCCAAGTCTTTCGCTCGTAGCAGTCACTTAAGTTTGAGGTAAGTTTGAGGTTCGCCTCTATCCAGCAGTCATGCGCTTGGACAGCGTGGCCCTGAGTGAGTCACAACAGGCTCGTCTCTTTCGGCCCCAACGGCTCTTTGCGGCCCAAATCCTGTTACGTTCCTGGGAAAAAAATAGCACGACCTAACTCGACGCGTTTTGACTTGTTTCAGACCGGCGATGCCAGGGGGAGCAAGTTTTCTTTCTATTTTTAATTGAGCAGTACTTGTACACTCAGATCTTGTGTGTGGCCACTGGTCTCTGAAGTTGAGGGTCCAGAATGATGGCAAGTGGGACGTGCCCCCGGTTCTTTCCTCTGGAGGATGACATGGAATATCAGCAATCTCTCTGAAGCGACACGCCTCTCTCTGCAATTGGTCCAAAAGAAGAAAGAAAATGAAAGCTCACACAGAACAGTATTTCTCGGGCGACTCGCCAAAGTCGACCATTGCCAACGCAGCAGGGGAAAGTCGGGCTGGGAAGCCTTGAGCAGCTTGAGCGTGGTGGAACATCCACGTCTCGTGACGACAGGAGTAGAAAAACCTTTCCTTGCGAGAGATTTTGAATCCAGCCCAGCGAGGTTTGAATTTTGAAACATCCGCTGCGGGGACACTACAGAAACTACGAACCTTACACCTCTTGCGGCTCGGTTCATGCTCTCGAGACAAAAAACATAGCTGTCATAGGGGGAGACCACAGTCGGGGGCCTATGCTCCCACCTACAGTCTTCCCCCGAGCAAAACGCACGTATGTACTATTCAACGTTCCCTGAAAAAGTAGATTTCTCATAGTCGCCACAAGAAATCCAATTAGTACGCACGTATGTTCTATTCGAATAGTATTCGTTCTATTCGAACCGACGGCTGTTCTGTTCAAATAGAACACATGCTGTGCCCTGCAGTATTCCGCCCTCTCTCTCTCTCTCTCTCTCTCTCTCTCTCTCTCTCTCTCTCTCTCTCTCTCTCTCTCTCTCTCNTCTCTCTCTCTCTCTCTCTCTCTCTCTCTCTCTCTCTCTCTCTCTCTCTCTCTCTCTCTCTCTGTGTGTGTGTGTGTGTGTGTGTGTGTCCTACCTGACGGTCCTGTTTGCGGGAAGACTGAAGATACTTGTAAGAGGCACATACTTTTTTTTTTTTGGGCAGAGGGTGGAGGAGCATTTTCGGAAGTTGATACCCTATATTCTAAGCATAACCAACGTGTGTTGTATACGAATACAACACACCCCGTGCGTTCTGTTAGCAAATAACGCACGTTTTGTTCGGGGGAAGACTGTAGACATGGCTTTAAGTACACTACAGCTAGAGGAACTCACCCACACGCCCGGCAGTGAGTCGGACCCGAAGAGGATGGCGCGTGAGTCGTGACGCACGCCACTACAGTGCGGAAATTGATTCGCCCCCCCCTTTCACATCATACTCACGCCACAGGGCCTTTTGCTTATCTTTGGACGCAATTGCCCGGTAGGATCTCAAATGTGGTCTGATACATTCAAGATAGTACTACTGTGAGTACGCCATGAAATTCCCATCCTCCACTGCTATGGTGCGCTATGACATGCCATCCGCCAATCGGGCTGACAGACGTTCTGAAACTGGCCGGAAGAGGTCGACAAGTGCCCCACAGAGGCTCGGTTATTGTCTTTCTTCCATACGACAGTAGTGTTAAGGTCTACCTAGCCTCAAAGGCCCTAAGGTACGTGCATTTGGCGGGTCTTCAGGTAATGAGACCGTGACGAGGAAAAGTTGGATTGCTGACGTTGGAATGGAAACAGCTCAAAACTGAAATGGGCATTGCGCACAAATTGACTGTCATCATCTTATCGTTGCATTGTCTTGGAGACCTAAAATGTGTACCTGATCTTGACTCAGATTTGATTTGCAAAACAGAAAAGAAAGACAAAAAAAAAAAAAAAGATTGTGCATCTGGAAGTGGCTCCTGCGTGGCAGAACTGAACTGTAGACTGAGCACAGAGTAAAAGGAGGTGGGTGCCCCACTGCCACTTGTTGCATCAGGAGCTTCCCATTTTTTTTGGGATAATTTCTAGAGAGAGCCCACACCAAAACCTTCCGGTTTTGGGCGCCTGAAACTCGGCCGCATGGTGCTACCCGCCCAAACCGTCTTCAGCCTGGGTGACAGGCGCCTTGGTGCCGTGGCCACATCTCCGTGGGCCTGTTTCTACCAGTTAAAGAATTTGGTGCTGTTCTTGCGCCAGATTCATGAACCGGTAGGGCCCTTCTTTTTCAAAATCCCGTACGCGGCCCTCATTGGATACATTGGCGTCTTTTGCATCAAAATGAATCTGGCGCTGTTATGTGCCAGATTCAAGATCCGGTACGGCCCTTGGAGCAACTTGTGCGCCTGTAGTACCCCACATGGAAGTCATTGGACCGGTAGGACCAAACGGCCGAGTTTCAGGTGCCCAAAACCGAAAGGTTTTGACGTGGGCGCTTTCTACCGATTATCCCCTCCTTTTTGTCATTCGTGGCAGTGACGGCCCGCACAGAAGTACAGGTACGTTGCTGACCTATTTTGTTTGGAAGCGACGTGCACGGCGCAAATAAAAGTGAAGTCCCTGATGGACACAACTGTCCTGTCATGGCCAAGAAGACACTCCCACGTTAGCCAAGAATTGCCAGATGGACATAAATGTCCTGAGTCATGGCCACGAAGACAGTGGATCCTTAGCGAAGCCGTACTGTAATACTGTAGCCCATTCTTTCTTTTTTGGAACTTGGAAGTTCATTTGTTCGAAGCCCAAACTTGAGTTCAAATCCAGATGGAGAACGAATGAACTCCCTAGAAAAGAAAGAAGGTAAAAGCTAAAAAACCTCCCCATGGAGAAACCTTTGTATTCATTTCACCCCAAATGGGGCAGAGGGTGTCACAGGCCCCAAAATGACTCTTCCTGTCATTTTTGCACCCTGGCTGGGCCCCTAATGCAAAATGGCACGAAAGTGTTTTACAGGCCCGAAGTGCAAAAATGAAGCCAAAGGTCATTTTGGGGCTTGCAGCACTTTCGAAATGAAGCAAGTACTCATCAAGTTTTACCTTGCCAACATCAATGAACATTCTTCATGAACCTTCAAACGAGAGTTCACATGTGAAAAAGCAGAAGCCAAGAGAAAAGCAGAAGGAAACAGGGAGGAAGCCGACTGGGAAGGAGAAAGGGAAGGGTAAGAGTGTTGGCGAGGGCAAGGAAGATGAGATGAAGAAATGGGTAGCAGAAAAATTCGGGGAGAGAGGAAGCGAAGCCAAGAGAAAAGCAGAAGGAAACAGGGAGGAAGCCGACTGGGAAGGAGAAGCCAAGAGAAAAGCAGAAGGAAACAGGGAGGAAACCGACTGGGAAGCGAAGGCAAGAGAAGGGGCTGGGGAGAGAGGAAGCGAAGCCAAGAGAAAAGCAGAAGGAAACTGGGAGGAAGCCGACTGGGAAGGAGAAAGGGAAGGGTAAGAGTGTTGACGAGGGCAAGGAAGATGAGATGAAGAAATGGGTAGCAGAAAAATTCGGTGGCTCACTGAAGATTTTGACTGAGAAACTAGAAGCGGTAGAAAGGAAGTCGAAGCTGCAGGAGAGTGAGGTGGAGGAGCTTAGAATGTTAAGAGCGGAGAAGGAACTAAGGGAGCTGAGGGAGAGCTCCAGCAATGAAAAAAGAAAGCGGGATTCGACTCCAGTCAGGCCGTGGGGGGGTAAGGTTAAGTCACGCAGGAGCCTACTAAAGAAAGTTGGGAGAAGTAAAACACATGCTCCCGTGGAGGTATCATCTGATGAAGGGAGCAAGGAAAAGGACGCTGTAGTCCAGAATTTGGAAGGGAAACTGCAGGACTCGAGTAGCAACATAGCTGAGGCATTAGTTTTGAAAGATCTAATCAGGGTGTTGCTGGCTGCAAAAGGTGAGGGCGCAAGTTGTGGAGGGGAGGAAAGGAAGGCTGAAGAAAGGAAGACTGGAAAGCCTGAACGGGGTGGTCCGACCGCGACGGCTATGGAGGCTCAGGTGGAATAGGAACCTGGGACTGCTGTAGAACCAGGGAAGGAGGAACTAGCACCTGGACTCTACTTCATGGGTCGTGTAGTATACTACGATGCTATGCACTACACGGAAATCCAGACCCTATGTAAGAAGAAGGGAATTGCTTACAAGAAGAAGGAAGCGGGGGTATGGGAGCTAGCAAGGTTGGACTTTGAAGTGCTGCAGAAGTTGGAGAAGCCCAAAGAAGAGGAGGTGGCTGCAAATACGACCAGTGAGGAGGATGGTGATGGATCGGAAGAAAGTTCTTAAGAGGAAAGAGAATCTAAAGATGATGACATTGCCGGGAATTGAACTAAGTTGAGCAAGCGATCTCTGCTGAGAGCTTGCAAGAAAGTGATTGCTTTATTAAATAAACTTGGGGGGGATGTTGCTCAAGAATGCGGCACAATTTTGAAGCTACTAGTTCTGGCTTTGTGTTTGAGAGGCGACTTAATGTGGGGAAAAACATATGTCAAATATTGGTTGAATCTTACCAAGGAACAAAGGGAGGGAATTTTGGATGCAAGAAACTGTGTTTATGTATTGATCTCCCCTTTCTTTAAGATAACTTATGTTGGTAAAACTGAGAGATCACTTCAAATCCGATGGCGATAACACATTAGAACTGCCTCCCTTAAGCATAAGCAGAAGGTGCACCGGTGGTTGGAAAAGGCTGTAACTTCTAATTATGTCTCCCTACCTATCTGATTTGGAGAAGGGAGCACTCTCATAAGGATGGAGAAATGTATTATTGAGAACTCTAATCCTGGTCTCAACACAAGAAAGGCAAAGAAGAAACCAGTAATAGAAGACCTAGGAAAAATAAAATGAATGTGGATATTGTAAATAGTGTGAGTTCTCCTTTATTGTTTAACTATCGACGGTTTGGCTTCCTCAAAGAG